TGCGATACGCAGCTCCTGTGGTAGAACTATAGGGATCCCGAAAGGGACGGCTCAAGGGAAGATGCATTCCAACCGCCTTTGGGATACCAGTCTTTTGTTGACCAATGCGCGGCTTCCAGTAGTTGATTCATCCGGAGTACCACAGTGCCTGTCACCGCGGCAGAATCCAGCTTGTTTGACTCGGCATGTTCATCAACGTGGGGTGATTCGTAAAGTCCTGTCAGCGAGAAACTGGATCTCTATGACACCTGGAGAGCCTTGTTTTCGGGGGAACACCTGGTCCTTGGCTCTTGTTGGAAACCGGGCAAGAGCTGACGGTCGCTACGAGTCGCTACGACTTTTCGATCGGCCTCACTTCCATCGGGTTTAAAGGGGGGTGCGTAGTGCGTGGTGAGCAGGTTCCCTGCAGACAGAAGAAAAGCGCGTGGTGTATATGTTTCCCGCAGACGGAAGCCGTGCGTGGCGATCTTTTTTACTTGTTTCTGGCACTTCCTACAAACAGAAACCTGCAGCTTTTTGGGGCCATTCGCTTCGCTTCTGAGGCTGGCAAGGCGGCAGCTCAGGCAGGGGCTCTCGATTTCTGGGCGCTTTCTGACCTCGTGAGCTTCCCAGCGCAATGAAATGTCGAATTCCTAAGGCGACAATTGAAGCCAACCATTTCCTGCAATACTACTTGGTGGTTCCCAGCCATCCGGTTCCTTAGCTTGTTAGTTTTTTTTAGTTGGTTTAGAGGAAGTTTCCGTATTTTGCCCACAAGTTAAATACTTTTAGCAGGGAATGTGAAAACGGACAGCCCAGACTGGCATGTTGGTTCGGTATTTGGGCGTGGTTACTTTGTGAGGCTGGTACCAACCCGTTGTTGTTCTCCCCAACAGCTGGAAGCTTTGGGGTCTCAGCCCAGATAGGCTCCGGGGTGGTCCGGGGGTGGCCCTGAGGTAAGGTTCCACAAGGGTTCCACCAGGGTTCCACCAGGGTTCCACCAGAATTGCACGAGGGTTCCACGAGGTTCTGCCAGGGCTGCGGGGTGGTGCGAGCACTAAAAGGAGCACCGCATGCTGTTGGGGATATCACCTGAGCTTATTTGTTTTGTGTGTGTGTGTTTGTTTTTCTTTGGAAGTCCCCCGGAGAACGCACACAATTATGAGCATATGAGCGTTTCGCGTGGCCAAGTTCCCAAATACATCTTGCATGGAACCTTTTTTGTGGGCTTTACAGGAGTACAAAAGGAACCATCACCATGTTGGGGGTTCCCACATGTTGCGGTTGTTTCTATACTGGGGCTTCGGGCCCCCCGGCCAAATTGGGTGGACGTCTTTTGGTTTCCCCAAACCACAGAAGGATACCCTCAACAAAAACAAGTTTCTAGTGCCCCCCAATCAACAACAAAAGTCTCAGAGAATGTGAAGGTGACATAACGCAAACCCCGCCCAAAAGCGCAGAAGTATACCCTCAAACTGGGGGTTGCTTTGTTTAGGCGGTTCGGATCGCGTTGCCAGGCGGGGCCGGCGGCGGCCGCGGCTGCGGCCCTGGCTGCAGGCCGTGCCGCGGGGCTGGATGGGGAGGCGGCAGCCGCATGCGCGGCGGGCGCAGCAGCTTGGTGAGAGGCGTTTGATCGTTGGATGAGCATATTGTATACATTGTGTATGTGTTATATATATGTATTACATAATTATGGTTTTGAATCGTTTCCCTTGAAAAAAAAAGAATGATTGAAAGTGCAGGCTTAAGGTTGCACGCTGACCATGAGCTGACAAATATACATGTATATATATATATATATGTATTTATTTGATATCCGTTTGGGGAGAACTTTGGGGGTAGAGCCCAAGTGGGGCAAGAAAACTCGGCGTGGTTTTTGCTAGGCGGTTGCTCTCTTGGAATCTCGCTTTGCGGTTGAAGATCTCGGCGGACCGACCAGACCGAGGCTGGGAGGTGCGCTGCCGAGGCAGCCGTAGCTGCTGGGAAGCCACCAGAGGAGGCCTCTGGGAGGAGGGAGTGACGGACCCCGACACCCCCCGTCGGTCCCAGAACGGACTGGGGATGGCTTTGTCTCACTCCCTTTTTTCCAGCTGACCAAACGGGAGAGAGAGAGAGAGAGAGAGAGAGAGAGAGGGTGGGGAAGATGAAAGTTGTGTAACAGGGATGAACAGCACCAACATGGTCGCACAGGGGACAGCAGAGGTTGCTAAGATACTGACCCAAGGAATGGCCGAAGGGTTGGCACCAAGCCACGCTGAGTCCATCACAGAGTGCTTCATGAGCTCTCCGTGTCTCCACCAATGTCCTGGGAGGATTGGTGGAGTTCTGGAGCCCGGAGATCCGCTAGCCCCACTTTGGAGCTAAGTTGTGGTAGAACGCATCATGTAGTGCGAAGGTTAGCATATCGTGGACGCGCCTGAATGGGTTGGGTCACTTTCAACAGAATCGGACTTGGCAGACTTGGCATGCGCAGAGTCATTTGCACACTGCAGACCCAAGCTCTGGGTTGTTCGAACTCGATCCTCCATCACGATGCCGAATGGTAGTGGTGTCGCTTGTAGTGTATGGAACAACCCAAAAGCACGAATCACTTCGTGAGTTCCTGGAATTCAGCCTCGTTTTGGGTTCCCACCATGTTAGTGGCTTCACACAAAGATTGGTTGCCTTCTGTGATCAAAAGCCAGACACACGAGCCACCGAGCCGCAGGTGGCTCGACTGACAGCTGCCGCCACCTCAGCGGCGGCAGACCAGACTGGCCTTCGCGGCGAGGCGAAAGCGAGACTTGGCGGGCGTGCTACGAATGCGCCTGGGTCCTTTATGTTGGTAGCGGATCTTCAACTTGTCGGTTGAAACGGCTTGACTTTTTTTTCTTTCCGTGTTGGACTCCGTACAAATTGCCTCACTTTTCAAAACGAGGGTTCCTTGCAGCAACCGATCGGTGAGGATGCCTGGCTCCTCCTCACCCTGAAGGAACGAAACCCCGCAGTCCTGGAAGGCTTGAAAATCCGATGGATTGACAAGTAACTTGAGAGCTGCGTGCCTTCAGCCAGTTACGCAAAAACATTGCTTGTGGACAACTTCACAGTGTGTGTTTAGGCTTTCGGGTTTTGGGCTCTGTTCATTGTCAGCAGGGGGCTGCAAAAGACCAGGATTTGTTTTACTACCGTACCGAGGGTTGGAAAGACTCGGAACACCAAGAAACTCACCAATGCCAACATGAGGAAACTGATGAAAGAAGGCACAGTCGCTCCTCACAGTATCCGCACAGGCCTCACTTGCCCTCTTTGTTTCTCAGAAGGGTAGTGAAGTGTTCCCACACCATTTGAAGACTGTACAGGTGGTTCCGGCAGCCACAGCTCATAAGCATGGACAGTCTTGGTGTTCTGCGCTCTTTCTCCATTTCAGCCGACCAAAATCGAGTTCCGCAGGGCGTGTGATTGGCGCAGCCTGTGATTATAACGGTGGATCATCTGCGCAAAGGCAATAGCGAAGATGATTTGTTACAGGGATTGTGTTGCAGAAGATAAAAATAGAATGAACCATGACAACAATGGAACCAAAAACAGGAAACTACATTCCCCCCTCTAGGTAGGTTCATTACGAGAGACGTTGTGTTACAACACTTTCCTCCTGGTTGTCTCTGTCTGAAATCAGGGGTGGAATTTTTACAGACGTTAGGACTTAGACGATATACCAGTTGCGGTAACGGGTTGTCTGAAAATAGGGACCCTTTTTGGACTGTTTCAACAGGAAATGAAAAGGAAGCCACTTACTTGATGGGGTCCCCAATTTTGAATTTCTTGGGTATGAATTTTAGCCAGGCCCTTTGGTGGACATCACTTCCCCCTTGAAATGTTCATATTTCCAGAGACATGCTCTGCCGGCTGCAAGGAAAGTTTCTGCGGCTGCAACTGGCCAAGCCGTCGCCGACATTTATGCCGAGAACGGCATGTCACCGGAAAAGGCTGGTGACGGTTGGGCCACGCCAAGACGTTTGCGGCTACCTACTGTTCATGTTGTGTGAAGAGCAACAGGTATTTATTGTCTTCTAGTAAGCTTCAAGATCAAGGGAACTGAACTAGAGAACCAACATGAAACTAAAATCCCGAGTTCCTGTACTTGATATTGTTTTGGGTTTTGACCATTTTGGTGGCAACCAAACAGTTTTGCCTTTTGTTGGTCAATCCCGAAGTGTGCTTTGGTGCATTTGGTTTGGATGTTAGGACTTTAACTTTTTGCCAACTCATGTGTGTTTTTTTTTTTTTTAACCACTAAAGGTTAAAGTTTTAGCAGGGGAGCAGTAAGCAACCGAGTGTGAACAGGGATCCATTACTCCAACGCGCAGGCAGCCAGCGAAGCTGGCATGGCCGCTGCACGTGCCGGGGCAGAGGCGGGCCGTGTGTTGAGTCCGAGTGGGCGCTCCCGGCGGGTCTCAAGCCCTTGGAATTCCGGAAACGCCCGAAACGACACCATGAGCTTCCAGTTGCTGAAATGAATATGTGTTATTTTCATTAATTTTCCCTTGTTGGTTTTAAAGAGAATCTACCACTACTGGAACTACTGTTTTTGTTTTTTGTTTTGTTTTTTTGTTTTTTCCAGGGGACTTAAGCAAATGGAGGAGAGACAATTACAAGAAGAAACATCATGTGTCAGTGATATGGTAACCTGCACCATCAGTGTCAGTCCAATTTTTGACTATCCACCTTTGAATAGCTGCAACTGCATCAGCTCGAAGAGGTATTTGAAGAGGTTGACGTGCCAAACAATTATGCCTGTTTCGAAGGGTCCCCAGTTTCTACCGGGTCTTACACCCCCTTTTCTATGGGGGGTTTACAGGGAAACCCACCAGGACACCCATGTTCCGCCCCCTTTTTGGGGGGTTTTACAGGGGAGACCAAAAGGAACACCTCGAAGTCCCACGGCCAAAGCGACTTTCGCGAGGCGGGGCTGGCGCCGGCGGCCGCTGCCCAGGCCGCCGCCGCCGCGGCGGGCCGCGCGGCGGCCAGAGCCGCCCGGGCCGCGGGCGCGGGCGGCGCGGTGGCAGCCTCCAAAGCGGCCCCGCGGCGCGGGTGGGGGTTGATCAATGCTACTGATGGACGAAATCTATGTCGCACCGCTTGGAAACCATGGTCGAAACCATTCGTTATGGGTATTTGCAGGAAATTCATCATTCCAGGGTTTCTTGGTGCGGGATTTCGGGCATCCACAGTAGGTCCCCCAGCTAGGTGCCTAACTTTTACCGTGTTTTTTTTTGTTGGGAGGGTTCTTCTACTAAAATCGACAAAAAAGAGACAAACTTTAGAGCCTCCGGCTCAGTCCGCCGACATTGTCCTCTCCCTTTTCTCCTTCTTCCCTCTCCCTTGTCTCCCTCGTGCGTTCTGTCGTCCTCTCTCCCTCCCTCTGCTCCCCATTCTCCCCATCCCCCCAAGCCTCTCTCTCCTCAATCTCCCTCTCTCTCTCTCTCGCTGTCTCTGTTTCTCTGTCTCTTTCTGTCTCCCTGTCTCCTTCCTGTCCACGCCCCTCTACAGAAAAAGGGCACCCTAATTCGAACCTCTCTACTCTCTCTTTCTCTCTCTCTCTTTCTCTCTCTCTCTTTCTCGCTCTTTCTCTCTCTCTCTGTCTTTCTGTGTCTCTCTTTCTCAGTCTCTCTTTCTCTCTCTCTCTCTGTCTCTCTCTCTGTCTGTCTCTTTCTCTGTTTCTCTGATTCTGGCTCTGTCTGTGGCTCTGTCTCTCTCTCTCTCTCTCTCTTCTGTCTCTCTCTCTGTCTCTCTCCCGCTCTCTCTCTCTCTCTCTCTCTCTCTCTCTCTCTCTCTCTGCATTGCAGCGTCACGTCCCCCCCTGAGTTGCCTCGATGTCCGGGCACTGCCCCTGCATGACCCTGAACTGTCATCCACTACTGGCTCATGTCCTTGTCACGTTTCCCATGATGTCCTGGTCCTGTCCCTTCCATGCCATTCAGCCCCCCCTTCATGTCCCTGACATTTTCTCGGTATGTCCGCTTCATTTGCCATGTATGTCCCGTTCTTTCGTTGCGAGTCATTTCCCTACATCTCCCGTCGTGCTTGGTTTCCTTGTGCTTTGTTTCCTCTCCTTCCCCCTGCACTCCCCTTGTTTTCATTTCTGTCCCTTGCATGTCCCTTTCAGTTCCCCTTTGTTTCCCTTTCATGTCCCGCTGCTTTCCTGTCATGTCGACTTCCTATTTCCTCCCCTCATTTCACTTGCACTTCCTTGCATTTCCCCTCTGCTCCCCAATATTTCCAGCAAAAAAAACACGGGTTTTCCAGCGTTTTCACAATTAGGACGTCCAAAAACACAGAGTTTTTCCAGATTTTCTGCAAAAGGAGGCAGGAACCCCAAACCAGCAAAGAGCCGGCAGGGGGAATCGAGCCTGGGACCCCTGTTTTGCGACACCGGGTCCCCGAAGACTACGTTTAGTGGAACGTCATCAAACTGCCGCGCGGTCCTTGGGGGGGGGGGGCCCCCCCCTCCCCCCCACGTATCAGACGTCGGGTGGGGGGGGGTTAGGGGGGGGGTTATCCTCTATCCTCTCTTAGGTGTCCGACACGCCGAGCAATGTCGGCGGACATCGGGTACCCTTATTCTAACCGCTCTACTCGAACACCTAGAGTGGGAACTTGGCCAAAGGCGAAAGTCACCCCCTAGACAGTTTAGACTTGTTGGCTCCCAGCCATCCGGTTTCTTAAGCTTGCTCAGCGTTTTAGTTGGTTTCGTGATAGTTTCCATTTCACCCACTGCAAGTTTTAAACTTTGAGCGGGGGATCTGAGGGCAGCCCAGAACACTCATGTACTCATAGATGTGGGCCCTCCACAAAGGATTTGCTTTTGTTTTTGCGGTTTTCCTGGTGGTTGACCATTTTAGTGGTAAACGAGAAGTTCAGACTTTTCCGGCCAATCCACTTGCTCACTCAGGCCACTCGATGGCGATACTCCAAGAGGCCAACCAGCGCAGCATTGCCCAACCACTCCGCCCACAATCAGCGCAGACCAGCGAGCCATGCTTCAACCAAGGCAACCTGAAACCACTCCGGTTCCACTCGCACACCCAACCAGTCAACCAGTCAACCAGCTAAGTCCATCCCAAAAGCCCTCGACCGATCCTAGTCCAACCATACACCTACCCTAACCCCCTCCTAGATGAACCCAAAACCAACCACTTTAAACCAGCCATTGACCCACCCTAAACCAAACCTTGACCCACCATAAACTAACCTACACCCTTAGCCTCCAATTCGGCCGAACCAGAGTTGAATCCACTGGAGCAGCGGGAACACGCGCAACCACGCGCATCCCAGAAGAGCAAGGAAAGCCTGGAAACCAAACAGCCTGCCATGAGCATCACAGCGAGGGAAGCATTCCAAACAAAAAGAACAAATTCCAGAAGCACACATCCCCCGAAAACAAGCGGACCAAAACAGCAACATAGACCCACACTTCCATGCATTGCAGCCCAGTCTCCAGTGACAATCTCTGCAAGACCAGCATTATTGCATGCATTGCGATGTCATCCATTCGAAATGGAAGCTGATCCATATTCCCGTTGCTCTGGCCACCTGTATTAACTCTGCACAACCGAAGTTGTTAGGCCATGCATGAAACAAACATACACAAGCACAAGAGTATGTAAGGCAGTGGCATGCTTGAAGGAGGGAACGACAACATGATATCGTTGCTGCCATGAGATTTGGAGTTGTTGTGACAGCGCGCCCGGTTTTGCGACTTCACCATGACTCAAGTCCATTGCAGTCATTTTGTTATCTCAGTTCCATCTTGAGGGCAACCCAGGGGTGGCAAAGCAACTCCCACCCCCCCAAAAAAAGACAGAAGAAAAAAAATAAACTGAAGAACACAACAACAACCAAAAGCAAAAAAGTCACCCCCTCCCCCAAAAAAAACTGGAAAAAAGGAAGAAGCGAAAACGAGCCGGACGGTCGAATGCGCCGAGGCCCGAGAGGCGGCCATGGCTGCTGGCGTGAAGCCAGAAGAGGCCATGCCATCGACAGAACATGCCTCTGGTGACCTGGTGACGTGTAGGGTTCCGAATTTATGTGTTTGTTTTGCAAACGATTCTTTAGTTGTATTTGCAGGAAATTCATCATTCCAGAGTTTCTTAGGTGGTGGGATTTCGTCCATCCACAGTAGGTCCCCCAGCTAGGTGCCCAACTTTTAGCGTGTCTTTTTTGGTTGGGAGGGTTCTTCCACTAAAATAGACTATAGAAAAAAATGAATCATATGAGGCACCGTCGGCATTACTTCTTTTGAGTTTAGCGATAGGGGACTCTCAAAAAGCGATACCCCTGGAACACGATGGAAACGCTGGAAAACGAGAGGGGGCTCGCAAACTAAGTAGCGAAACGGCCGTAAGTAAGTAATTTCGGCCGTGCCTCATATATATATATATATATTATCTATATATATATGTATAGATCAGGACCTTCCGGGGGTCAACATTTTAAGCGTTGGCCAAAAAACACGTGTTTTTGGTCGTAGGTGTACAGAAAATGTTTTTAGGGCGAGAAACAACGCCGGTGGTCATATTTGGTTGCGCCGTGGTCGGATTTTTTGGCCTGTTGGTCGGGAAATTTCGCATGTTGGTCAAGAATTGTTGCTTGTAGCTTCGGGGGAGATTGCGCTTAACACCCAAATTGAGCAAAAGAGCCGCAGGCAAAACTTACGCGCTGTTGCCCCAAAAAGCAATTCGTAGCGAAACGGCAGAAATTTTAAGCATGAAGGAAAGTCCAGGTATGTATATATATATATATACATATGCTGAGGTCTTGTGAGTTGGGGGGTCAAAGTTTGCATCGTTTTGATGTCCCTGAAAAAACAGTACCTTTGCGTGGCAACGATCGACTTCAGGTAGTATTATTGTGGAAGCCAACATGGGATCTAGCCCTACTGTGGAACAAGAAAATCCTGCACCACCTAAGAAACCCTGGAATGATGATTCAACTGCAAATAACAAAAATGACTTCAACCATGCTTTCCAAAGTGGTGCAGGAAGGCATGGTTGAAGCCATTGTTGGTTGGTATTTGCAGTTGAATCATCAGAAGCCAGGGTTCTCAACGGTGGTATGAATTGGATTTCGCAACCATCCACAGCATGTTTTTTTTTTTTGTGTGTGTGTGTGTGTTTTAGTATTGTTCTTGTTTGGTTTGGAATGGGCAGCAGCCTCGAAAATGGGCGAACTAGGCCTATGAATCCGCTCGTACCATTGCCTTGCAACGTGCAGGCGGCCCGCCTTGGCATCCAGGCCGCAGACACAGCTGCAGGAGTCGCTGAGGAGGCGCTTTGGTGCAGTTTCGCGTCGCGCGTTGGGAAAGGCACGGCCCTTTGGGAAGGTGTGAGAAGAATCGATGCACGTTTGGGGGGGGGGGGCAAGGCTTCTTATTTTCTTGACCAATCCCAACCAAGAAAAAGTACCCACATTTACCCGAACGGGGGGTCGTGTTAGTATAGTATATGTTACAGTATGGGGTTTGCTGGAGGTTGGTTCAGGGTTGGGTTGGTTGAGGGCTGGTTAACGGTTGGTTGAGGCTTGGTTGAGGTTTGGTTGAGTTGGTTAGTTTATTTCGAGTGAGTCTAAGCTTGGCTTGGAGTTGGCTGCCGGGTGTAGGCTTGAGTTAGGCCGATTTCCGGGGATGCCGGGCATGTGAGGTGCGGGGAGGGGGGAGGCTACCGAACCTGGGACCGGGAAGATAGTAATGCATACTTGTATATTCTTATGTTTCTCAAAGTAGGGGTCTGTGAAGATGGGCTGTTTGCAGTTGGCTTCCCTTGAAACCAATTGGAGCATCTCTCATATCTACATCTATATCTATATATCTCTATATATCTCTATATATTATGCATAGAGAGAGAAATCCCACATATGGATTGTTTGTTTTGCAATTGTTTCCAGGCGCAGGGCCGCACGCCAGAGAAGGCGGCTGAGGAGGCGGGCAAGGCAGCATTGAAGGCGGCCGCCCGGCAGGCTGAGGATTTTTACACAAGAATCGCGA